ATGTTGCTTATTTGGGCTGAGCCCGACCGGGCTCCATTGATAGAGACCCGGTCACCAGGTGCTTGCCAATGAGCCCCTCCCCCAGGCCTGGCTCCAGGGTGGGGCCCTGGTAGCACATGTTCGGGTCAGGGACTCAGAGTTCCTTGTTTTCTTTTGTCCATACAAGTCTTCTGAATTGCTCTTTGTCTGGCCTGTCACTAGAACCAGCCTGCCTTGGGAGACCCTACCGGGGCAATTAAAATGGCCCCAGATAGCAGAGCTCCTAAGATCATTCAGGCTCACAAACTCCTCCACCACGATAAGGTGGAGATTCAAGGAGGAGCTGATCTCATGCTGCTGATTTATTTCATGCTGCTGTGTTCATTCGTCCTCATCTGCTCACACAGACTCAGGTTCGTGCTGCTGTTGGGCGTATTGTTTTGCACTATTAAGTGTTTAGCGTATTCTTAATTTGGCGTGTTCTTAGTTCATATCTTAGATCTATTTACTGTTTTTCTTTTACAATTTATACTTGTGTTGGATGTAACTGGGACCCTGTGTACATAATTTCGTTCCACCACATGTACCACATGAGATGTGAATGACAATAAAGAAACCTTGACCTTGAAATAGCTAAAACTTGCAGACAAGCTGAAATTAGCAGAAAGAAGTTAGAAGAAGCACAAAAATGTTGTATTTAGCAGAAATAATCTGCAAGGAGCACAAAACAGCTGAAAAACAGCTAAAATTAGCTGAAAGCAGCTGAAACAAGTTTAAATTTGTACAGGGAAGCTGAAAGCAGCTGAACCAGAACCAAATGTGAAAGGAACAGTAAAATGTTGTGAACAGATCTACAGATCTGAAGGATGTAAAATGAGCTCAATTCATTTTCTACGAGGAATAAATGGCAGAAAAGGCTAAATATTTCAAACAGCTAAAGTTACACCAATACCAAAGTCCCCGCAGGATTGTCCTGAAAGAGCTGAACGTTTTGATTGATGATTTGTTGAAACGGCTGAAAACTGCGGGATGAGAATGGTACAGAAGAAAAATGGATCAGAGTAGTTGCTTGATTATTCACACAATAAGAACAGACATATTTTCGGCTGGGTGTTTTAATAAAGCCTCAGTCAGAAGCTGAAGAATACCGTAATTAGTTGTTTTTCAAGAGAAAACAATGGAAATGATTCAGAATACCAAAACCAAAGGAGCTGCGTCCCCATGGAGGCCGGCTGTGGTTTCTGATTTAATTGTTGTGCAGTTAGGTGAGCTCGTTAGACTCTGCCTGTACTAGTTCAGACAAGCTGCTGCACCATGAAATCAAACAAGAAAAGGATGTGCTGTCAATTAAATGTCTGGTTTTATTTTTCTAGTAGTTTTACAAACATGTTGTAATTATTGGCTGCACACAGAATACTTTTATGATGCGTCTGTCCTGAGCCAAGTTTCAGCTCTTTGTACAGCAACATCCAAAGTTAAGTTAATTTATATGTTGAAAATATGCTGCAGCTATGAAATGAAACATTGTCCTGTACACATAAACAATAATATTGATCATTAAGACTTTCAAACTGGAGAAATTTCATTGTACCTAGTTAAAAAAGCAGTGAGGGTTACTAATATTACCGGTATTTGTTAACAAAATGAAAGTTGAAGTTTTCAGACCGGCACCTGTGCAGCTTCAGCCTCTTACCTGCAGCTGTTGGTGCATCTTCCTTAGCTCTTTTAAAAACATTCATCGATTCTTGATTCTGTTTATTATCAACCCAAAGAGATGAGCACCTGCCAAGTGACTGAGGAGGAACGCTGTTTCTTAAAGGGATATGATACCATCCACCACGACTCTGACCCCCCACCCCAAAAAACACCAAACTCTTTGGATCTACACGTAAATGACATATTTTAGTTTGAAACTGGCGACTCTCGCTGAAAAGTGACACGTTTGCAGGTCTGCTCTGTGCAGCTTGAAGCTGCAGGAGGCAAAGCTCTGACAGTTTGAGTGTATGCACCAAGAGCTCTGGACGGTATCCTGGAAGGGGTGCAGTCCTTGTTCTCCTGGGTGATTTTAATGTCCATGTGGGCAATGAAGTCATCTGGAGGGAGTGATTGAAGGGAATGATCTCACTTCCATTCAGGCTTCTGTGCTAGCTATGGGCTGTGCATAACAAACATGTTCAAGCATAACGTGGTCCAGAAGTGGACTTGGTACAGGCCACCTTTGGCCAAAGGTCCAAGAGCAATTTTATAACCATGTCATCAGACTTGTGGCTCCATGTCTTGGACAGGGGCAGAGCTGTCAGCTGATCACCAGTTGATGTCTGGAGACTGTCAGACAAACCTGGGACACCCAGATGATAATAATGTAAATGACCCAGCATCCACCAATTTTTCACTCGGGTCACCTGGACCATCTTAGCACCAACAGAACTGGTTTGTTCCACTTTGGAGTAAGCAGTTGGGGAAGAATCAGTTTTGTTGTGTGTTTCCTTGACTGATGAAGCCTTCTGGATGGAAGATGAAACATCTCAGCACAAAACAAAAGAAACTGTCCAGATGACCTGACTGATAAATGTTGGATTGTATACCTGGGTTACTGAGCATGGACTTTGTTGTTTCTTGTGCAACAATTGCTTGTTAAGAATATTTCTCTTTTTAGACCAAAAATAAGAAAAAAATGACTATAAAATAGTTTTTTTTTTTTTTAACTTTTTTGAAATTCATTATTTGCAGTGCATTAATTAAGATGTTGAGGTTCTCCTTAGGAGAGACAAGGATGGAGAAGATCAGGAATGAGATGATCAGAGGTACAGCACAGGTTGAACAACTGGGAGATAAAGTTAGAGAGGACACACTGAGATGGTTTGGACATGTCCAGAGGATGGACAGTGGTTTGGACATGTCCAGAGGAGGGACAGTGGTTTGGACATGTCCAGAGGGGGGGACAGTGGTTTGGACATGTCCAGAGGAGGGACAGTGGTTTGGAC